TAGTCTCTGATTTTCTGGTTCTCTTCGAGCTCCACAAACCTCTCACTTTCAGGGGTTTTTGGCATATTTTACGATAATAAACTATAAGCAGCTCAAGTGTCTGTTATTGTCTGTTATTGTCTGTTATTGGAGTTGTGTTTTTGCTCTTGGCCCCATGGCTGAAAGGGCACAGACAGGTCAGACAGGTCGCAAAGTGAAATGATTGGCAAAACAGCGTTTGCCAATCGAGTTGAGATCGATGATATTGAATCACTTCAATTAAAATAAATTGCGAGACATGCAAAACTTTAATTTACTTATCAATTCCAATTTGCTATTATAAATGGTATCTTTAAAACATATCTGTTATATTCGGACTAGCTTCGCAAATGGGCAGCTTTCTATTTTCTCTTGAATACATTTGCATTTTCTCATATTAACACTTGCCCTGCCAACACATTAAATATAATATAATATTATATATTTTACTTGATATAATTAAGATTTTGTCACGCTGGAATTTTGTATGGAAGTGCTCAATCATAGCTCTATTTTATCTTGCTTCTTGTCCAGTTTTTTGGCAGGGTAAAAGTGCTGTCAATTTTTTGAGCTGCAGTCAGTTCTATTTGAGATTGGATACACTTGAGCAGTGACTGAGAGAGCTGCTGCGACTCAACAGGAAGCAGTTCACGGGTTGATTACACACCGATTTGGAGCCGTTGCTGGGCAACTTTCACCTTGGTCAAAATGAAAATTACACCCAACGGAAAATTGGCAGAGTTTATATTCATTCACCTTTCAAAGCGTCGAGGACTGCGATTTATGCCGACGATTAGTGAAATTAAGTGGCCAATCATAGATGGCGATGCGGTGCAACGAATACCCTTACTAAATTCAAAAGAGTTTCGAAAGCAAACCAAAAGCTGACGATTATTTTCAGGCCTTGTGACTCATATGAACAGGCTGCACCGAAGTTTTTACCGCTTGTGTGTGTGGCACGTGTGGCAAATGGCAACTCCAAGTTTTTTTGCAGCCATTATTGACCTCACCGAAAGACTTTCCTTAAGATTTCCGCAACTCTGATAATTTGTCGTCTAACACTTTTCATTATGCTGCGCATAAATCAAACGTAATATTTAATAAATTTGGACGCCTTGTACATAAAACGTGATTCATTTGGCCCATAAATAATACTAATAATACAATAAATAAATACAAAAAGCATTGGAGAAAACCGCCAGAGACCGCGACCCGGCAATTTGATGTAACAACCAATCATTATTAATAGCCAAAAAAAGAAATTGCACACACACGCCATAATACAACAACAATAATAACAACAACCACAACAACAACAGCAAAAACGTATAATAAAAACATTAAAAAAAGACATCCAAATGCAACATAGTACAACAATAACGGGTTTTTATGCTCAAGTCGGGGCCAAAGTCAAGCTCAAGTCGCTGTCAAGATACGAACATATAGATATCAAATATCCTATACACCGATATTATATCGGTGGAGGTGGGTAAAACTGTGACTAGCAAGCGCTTTCCGTTGCCATAAATCAACAAATAATTATCTTTTTTCTCGCTGACTATTTTGTTGCGCTGCAGGTGAGGCAAGCAACAACATGAACAGCAACAAAAGTTGATAAATCGACGCTGATAAATTGAAAATTACTAAGGCATCCGCAGCAACAATACCGCAGAACTTCTTGTACTCGAGTCAATGGCTAATGCTTTATGTGTAGACATATAGACATGAGCACATAGCCATACAATGTCTTCCTGATTGCACTTTTTCTTTCCTTATGCTGAAATTGCATTCCAACTTCTTGTGGCCAGGCCAGGCCAGACCAGGCCAAGCCAGGCAGGGAAAGGCCAGTTCAGTCAGTCCAACCCGCTAGCCAGCTAGCCAGCTAGCCAGACATTGCATTGGATTTGGCTTATTCATTCGGCCCGTGCAATAAACAGACAGCTTACAGTGGAGCCAATGCGATGAATAGTGAAAGATTTAATATTGTGTGCTTAACTTATTTTAAACATCGAAATGAAGTTTGCAACTATTAACAATTTAGTGTGCCACTGTTCGTGAAGAGTCCCAGCGAACGTGAAGGCGCCCAAAAAAATTGTTGTTGCCATTTCCCGCGGGGCGGAAAATCAAATACTTGAACGTAATATTTAAGGAAAAATCACGTTTCAAATAAAAGACGTTAACGTGGCCAGAGTCAAATGGAAACAATGGCCGTTAGGGGCGTGCCACGAGTGCTAGCTGGCAGCGGGGCATGTAGTTTGGGGCATGGAGCAACGGGCGCGCCACTTGCCCCAGCGATTGCCCGGCAATGGGCAAGCAAGTTGATTTTATTGCGCTTTAAATTAAATATATTGCACAATTTGTATATAGTAGAAGGAAAGTGAAGTGAAATGATTTTGTGGCTCTTGCCACATACCAAGCTCACAAACAAACACACACACACACACACAGCACAACATAAAAAAGAAACAGAAGGCGCAACCGAAGCCAACTTTACAAACTGTGGCAAGACCACTGAACTGGACAACACGTCCATGCATCCAACCGTCCAGCAGCCTCTCCGTCGCCTGTGGCTATGCTATCTGGGTTCCGGGAGCAAGGCGACTGGACGCGAATCGACTAAAGTTGAAAACTGCAGACATGGCATCAAATAAAACACAGAACCCAAGCGTCCAACGACAGAACGACAAAACGACAGAACGATGGACGACGCGACGTTCCACTAAAAATTCCGCTTGCAAAAGGCTAAATAAATAAATATTACGATGCGTGCAATACGGACAATGTAAAATGCACCAGACTAGAACTAGACTAGGATATACCCAAAAAAAAAAAAGATAACTTAATAAGTTTTGTGTTTATTGAAAAATCATCTTCCAATTTTCACATATAGCATCGATTTTAGGGGCTATTTGTGGTGATCAACTATCCATATAATATAAGTGATGAAATCGTCTTTTGCCTGCTGCAAAAATGTACACAACTCCATCATACCCTGCGTGCCCATTTCAAATGAATACGGGGTATGTCTATAGATGTTCTAGGGGCATTTGCGGAGAGTTGGGCGTATTGTGGCATAAGCTAGCATCGCAATCCCTTTCATTGTTGCTGTCGTCATCATCATCTTTGTTTTCATGCCAGTAGCTGTGAATGTAACATTCCACAGTGCTGTTGCACAGTGTCACCAACAGCATATGAGCATGTGGGTGTGTGTGTGTTCTTTTTTGCTTTTGCGAAAATGCTGACGCTCGAAATTCAAGCTTAAAAAGTACACATATATATATATATATATATATAGGAAAAGAATATAAATTCAGCGATTTAGTTTATGTGCAGAGAACTTCAAGTGGTTTCATTGCACCACAAAACTCAAGTGTGGAGAGAAAAAAAACAATAACAAAGAAATATTGAGAGAGAGATATATAGAAAAAATCATTCACAGCTCAATTGTCAACAGTTAGGCGAGAATTGCCACAGGGGGAAAAGTCTGGTTTTAAATTACGAGGCAATGCAGCTGGCCAGCTGCACTAACTGGGCTAACTGAGCTGACCTGCTTTAAAGCCAAACAAATGCAAATATAAAAAGACGAGACCAATGAATTGGCAGGCAGCATGCAAAAATGTGTTTTTGTTGCCATTTCCTGTCGTGCTGCGACTGTGTGTGTGTGTGCTTGAGTATGTATGTGTGTGTGTGTGTGTGCGGCTGACCAAACAAATGTCTTGACAGCACACCCCTCAACCCGCCCTCGTCGAGCAGTCAGTCAAAAAGCCAAAAAGCGCAACGAAATTCAAATCAATGCATGCCCAGCTGCACTTGGCTAGCCTTCATTGATACCTCCTTCCGCTCTCGCTGCCGCTCTCTCTCCCCCTCGCGCTTCCCCAACGTCCCCACAGTTGACTGCCAATATCAGCCAGCAACAGCTGCAACAGCAGCAGCAGCAGCAGCTGCCTCATGTTTATGGCACATTTTGCAATTTTGCGGCTTTCATTTACAAAATTAGTTAGATTGCTATTGTGCAGTGGTTGTGGAGGTTGAGGGGAGCGCGCAGCTGGAGGGGGAGCACTTATTGGCAGTTGCCAAAGTGTTTTGGAGACGATGAAAAACGAAACCAATTGCGGAAAAGCGAAACAACAACAAATCAATCGATCAACACACACAAAATTTTTTGTGGCTAAGTTAGGGCTAAAAGGAAAATCAAAAATAAAAGCTTGACACCAAATTTGCCGCCAACAGTTTCGCATAGAAATGGAAAGGCAACAACCAGATTGGATGAGGTGTTTGAAATAGCAAGAGGAATGGTTGAAGATTTATGCATAAAATTGGAAAGCAATTAGCAAATAACAATTTAAAACATTGAAAATATATCGGCGCTTGGCAAAAAATGATCTGTAGCTTATATAATTGTTTTTGAATAATAGCAATGATAATACATTCTAAATAAAAGTAGTTTCCAAAATTAAATTCACAAAAAAACTAAAATGAATATGCTGCAAAATTTAGTTTACAGCTTCAAAAAAAAGACTTAAAGTGAACATTGCAATTTACGATGCAGACAAGTTTTCCGCAGTCAGGGAGAGATACAAAATAGCTTGCAAATTGTTTGCCACTGGTAAGAAAAAAGCGTAATTGAAACTTAATGAGAAAACACAGCAGCCGCAGCCCACATGCATATTTGAGGCTGGACAAGTTGTTAGAGAAGTCACGGCAAGTTATGGCCAACTTGGGTGTTTGTGGTCGTAACTGCAGATGCTGTGCAGGCAGATGCGTATCTGCGGGATGCATAAAACTGCACAAGTGCTTCGCAACCAATATAAAAAGTTACTCATACTCATTTGGCTGATTGCCATCCAACAACTGCAGCTAAACAGATATGTACATTTTTAGTTACCAGATACTGGTTAACAGTTACAAGACACTTTAACGCAACACGGCTAAATGATGGAAACTGATTTCGTCTCTCTCTCTTTCTCCCTTTCTGCTTGCAGATGCGCTCAGCTTTGGCCAGGTGAATGTGGAACCGAACACAGCGCTCCTCAACGAGGGCGATCGCACCGAGCTGCTCTGTCGCTATGGTCGCGCCATCAACTACTGCCGCATCGAGATACCCGGCGAACAGAAGGTCCTCAATCTGTCGCCCGTGTGGAGCAAGACGCCAGGATTCACCTATTTTGGAGCGGGCTTAACTGCCGGCCAGTGCGGCGTCATCATTGAGCGCGTCAAGGCCAGCAATAATGGCCAGGTCAAGTGCAGCCTGGGCGTCGAGGGTGAGGAGCTTTCCGGCACCATTGACCTCGTCGTGGCATGTAAGTAACAAACTATCAGTTCTTGCTACTTGACGAAATAGTTTAGTCAATTAAGATAGAAATTTCAATCAACCTAAAATTAAATGTGTAAATTTAATAACTTTTAATACTTTTAAAAATTGATCAATGAACGAAAATGAATTACCATTGAAAGTCGATCAATTTATTACTCACTTGTGGCTGTGAAAAGTTTTCAATTGATAAAAAGCATATTTTTTGTAAATATTTTTTTAACTAGGATATTATTGTACTTGAATTAGAACTCTAATCGTCAAAATCGCTAATAAATTGAATTTGTTTTTTTGGTTTTGTCTTATAGTGCGTCCACAGCAGCCGATTATTGAGCTGATATCGAAACCGAATCGTGATGGTTTCTTTGCGGAGGGAACGGAATTCAATGCCCGTTGCATTGTGCGCAATGGTCGCCCGCCAGCAAACATCTCGTGGTACATTGACAATATGCCCGCCAACAAGCGCACGAGTCCTTTGCAGATCATTGGCACGCCCACCACCGACAACGTCAAATTGTCCACCTCAGTGCAGGAGATCCAATGGCATCTGGTGCCCGAGGACAGCAATCGCAAATTAGTTTGCCGCTCGCATCATCAAACCGATCGCGAAAGTGTGCCGCCCCAGGAAGCTGCTTACGTTATCAATGTGCGATGTAAGTACTACAAAATAAATTGATATCCATATAGTTATAGGCTTGAAATATATACTTAATCTAAATCCATTCTATTTACTTCACAGATGCACCCGTACATCTGCCTGAGGCATCGGTCTATGGTCTCTATTTGGAGCACACTGCCATTGTGAATATTTCAATCCGTGCCAGCCCACAGCCGAAAATTGAGTGGACCATTGATGGATTGGTTATACCGGAAGGCAGAACCGATGGACGCTACTCGGCCTATGAGGCACAATACGTGGGCAACGATGAGTACAATGTGACCCTAGCGATTGCCGGACTCACACTAGAGGACACAACCAAAACGTACAATCTGCGGGCGACCAATGAGCTGGGCACCACCGATTATCAAGTGCGCATCAGTTCGTCTAGCAAGCCGCCGAGCAGCAACTTGGATGTGGCCGCCATTGTGGGTATCGTTGTGGCTGTTGCCGTTATCGTCCTGATTGTGCTGCTCGTTCTGTTTGCGCGCGCCACCGGCAGATGGTGCTTTGGTGGTAAGTAACGCAGAGTTTGCACTCTTTCTTTATAATATGTTTTAGACATTTTTGGGATATTCCATCTTTTTTTTTTTTGCTTTTCCGAGGGTGCCCATCATAATGTCATCATCATGTCATGCCATCATCATCAGCTATGCTAACAATAATTTCCATTTGGCCCAAACCACCCATTTAGCCACTCAGACATCAGACATCAGCTATCACAGCCCTAACCAAGCTCATCTCATTTGCCAAGCTCCATATTCGCCACATGCTGCACAGACAATGTCTGCCCCACAAACACATGCTACATTCAGAAAAATATCTGTGCCATGGAATTTTAAAAATCACCAAAAGCAAAAATATTTACTTTTAAGAAACATATGGAACGTTTTTATGAATTTCCTATTCGTGCAATTTTCAGAAATAGATTTCTTAATTATCGAAAATCTGTCTGAGAAGTAAAATGAAGTTAGACGTTCTGGTATTTTTATTTATTTAACAATAAATTGATTTCGTTCATTATTTTTCTGAGTGCAGCTATGAGCGCCCGCCAGTTGAGTGTGGGCGTGGCAACCGCAGCTCGGTATCGCTAACTTTGAACTCATTGTGCGGCTTTTAAATTTTAATTAGCGCCAAGTTGCAATCTGGGTGCGGCAGCAACTCATCGTTGCCCTAAAATCCCATCTAATTAAACATTTTTTATCTTAACTTTGCGCCGGGAATTTCGTTTTGACTTGTCTGCTGTTAGGGATATGCGGATATTAAGGGTTAAGCGCAGACCCTTTAAATGTCTACCGCTGATTTTTGTGGATGCGGTCGCGCCAATTTGCCAAACATAATTAACAATCGCATTGACGCCAAGGAAACCATTCTGTGTCCCAAATTTCATGAAAAATGTGTTACAAAATCTGTCATCATCAATATTTGCTGCCAAATAAATTTATGTAAATAAAACAACAAGCGGCGTCTATCATATTGTAAAAAGAAAGATATTTAAAAGAAAAAAGAAAAAAAAACAATATTTACGTATATAAATCGGTACACATTTTACAACAAGCCTTTGCATGTTAATAAGCAAATATATCACATACAATTTAAATAACAATTTTCTAAGAACTTAAATGTATTTAGCATATATAAAACAAAAAACAAACCAAACAAGTGTCAAAAACTTCTATTCAGCAGACACGAAACTCTGGCTTCAAAAAGTGTCTACAAATGACAACAACAAGAAGAGCTAACATTAAAGACGCTGTATAATATATATACATATATATATATATTTTTATGTGTGTTTTAAAATTGTAAAAATAAAAAAAAATGTTAATTTTGGTTTTTGCTTTCTTACTTTTCACTTTAAATTTAGTTTCTATAAAAAAAATCTGTATCTCCTTCATATCTTTCGTATCTATTACTTTGCTTTCACTTGGTAAAAGGACTAACCCCAGTTAAATAAGTTTTGGCCCAAGCAACTAAATGGTTAAGTGTGTTTTTGGCTCCAAATGGTTGTATTAAGCAGCCAGGAACTCACTCGTCGCTAAATGTTAGTTCTTGTTGTTGTTGTTCATTACAGGAGCCACTCTAAACACAGACCTTGGTCCCGACTCCGAGGCCCAGATCCATCCTGACCAGCACGACGATGAATTAGATGGCCAAGATAATGCCGATGAGCATATTGATACCACACAGCAATCCGAGGAGGTCACGCCCCCCGTCACGGATAAATTGGAGGCCCAAAAGAAGGCCGATCTAAAGAAGAGCGCCGCAGCGACTGCTGCAGCGGTTATTGCGGCCGGAAATGGCCAACAGAATAATGCCGATGCACCCAAGCCACCAAACACATCCGTTTAAATACGGCGAGAGAAAGAATGAGAGAGTTTCTTGCTACAAGCAATTGGATCCTTAACAACAACAAAAAAACGCTCGCTCTCTCATTTTGCTCCGCTCAGATATATCTCAATAGCGCACAAAATATATAAAAAACAAAAACAAAAATAAAAAACAATATATACAAAATACTAAGCAGAAAAACCTATTGTAGGCCAAGTATTTTTGTAAGCTCTCTCTCTTAAGTTAAAACCGCAACTGAAAATCTCCTGGAATCTCCTGTTTACAATTTTAAAATCCGCCCGCGGGTAGAACAGTTCTCACAAAAATTTCCCCCAACATTAAATCATAATTTTGTTTTTTTGTATCATAATTTTCTCATATGGTTTTTTTCTGCCAGCATTAAATTAATTTATATTAAGCTTCAACCTGCCAGCGTTTTTTTGCATTTTTCAAATTAATTTTTTCTTGCTCAAATAAACTGTTAAATTAGCTAATAAACACAAAAATAAAATATATATAGCATATAATGTATACCAATTATAAATAAATCTTGGCTCGAATAATTAGCAAACTTAATGCCGCACATATAAATTATATAGTTATAAATATAAAAACAAATTGGCTAAATACATTTAACATAATTTGCACACCTTATTTTCCGTACTTTTGTAATTTTAGTAATTTGTATAAACAAATGAAAAACGAAACAAAACAAAACAAAAACATTTTTATTTTAAAGTTACAAATAAATTGTGTTTTTATTTAAATAATCAACAAATTGGTTTGGAATACATTTATTTATATTGAATATAGCCTACCGTATATTGATGTAGTTCATGATGATGGTATAGAATATGATCTCTATTAACTGATTTACCCAATTCATGTTCCATTAACTCATTAGCAATATTTAATATAAATTTCGAATCAATTTTAAACAATATTTGTTAATATTTGTTTGTTTATATTCACAGGTAAATCAATCAAGACGCCCACAAATGAAACGTAAGTAATTCCAACAAATCCATCATCAAATTCTCGCCTCAAAATGTTTATGTCAAAATAAGTTAAAAGTGCAACGGGGCCAGGCCATTTATTTACATAAGTCATGCTCAATCTCGCTCAGTCTCCACTGTCTCAATCTCTCTGTCTCCATCTGGATGTCAACCAACCCATAAAACTAACCCAAAAACGGTATCTGTCTGCCTACTACTATTATATAATACAATACTGCATCCTATATATGGTCTTAGCTGATCATTGTGCTTCACAATTTCTTTGCAATTAATTGCGTAGTTGAGTTGTGTGCCTTGTCTTGTTGCATGCTTCTGTTTATGGCTTTATCGGCAATCATTTAATTTGTTAATTGTCATTTTTAATTTCTTTCAATTTTTATTATTTTCATTAACAAGCAGCTATTGAACTTATTCATCATCATTACCATTAGCTATAGATTATACATATATCATTGCTAGGCTCTAGTCATAGTCATTTACATTCAATAAGCGTTTAACTTAAGCACACATACGCATAAACATAAGTACATACATATTTAAACACACACAAACATTGACATATTTCCACTGGCAAGTCATTTAATAAATCTGCATATGGATATAAGTTTCTTGACTTTTACTCTGTCAAACAAAATGGAAAAATATTATTTGAGCAGTGAAAACGGAACACTTCAAATTATTGTATAATTTGTTAAAACAAATAACTTTTAAAGGAAAATTAAGTAGTTCTGCAAACTGAAAAATTTTGAATATTTCTGTAGTTTTCCAGTCATTGCAAACCAACGAAATTGCTTTATATGTCAGTGGAAATACACAAAAAAAAAACTCTAAAACTAAACAAAAATACAAAACTACTAAAACAAAAACTTTTCGCATTTGTTCGGCAAAAAAAAAAATACTCGTCTCATTTCTCTCGCTGTCTTGTCGCTCAAAATTGAAATCAAATCAAATTCACTGTGCAATTCGAAAAACAAATTTCACGCTGCCACACTCACACACCCTCACACTCACACACATACTTGCTCACACTCTCACACACACTGCTCGTTCGCTCGTCCGCCCGCCTCGCCTCGCCCAGTCGTTCTATCTCTTATTCTGTCTCTGTCAGTCTCTTTATCTTGCTCTCTCTCTCTCTCTCTCACTCACTATTCACTGTGTTGTACCGCAAAAAACAACAACTTAATCTGCATATACTAAAACGTCAAGTCGCTGTCTAAGCCATATTCCAAACGAGAGTTAGCCATTTCGCAAATGCATCACAACAACAAAAAAAAAACAAAAACAACAGCATCAAATACCCTCTCTACTTCTTTTGTGTACTTTCATATATGGACAAACATACCAAACCACAAAAAAAAAAAAAAACAAAACAAAACAAAAAAAACCCCAAAAATATAAACTGTCGAAATAAAAACGAAACTGTCAAAAAATTGTTGTTTCTGCCCCTCTCGCTTCTGGTCGAAAACCAACTTTTGCAGCAGCGACAAGCAGCTCGAGTCCGGCGAGGCAGCGCATCATGGCCAAAATGTGGCGTTACTCGAGACTCCCAATGGCATAACGCTTCTAGGCGCCAGCAAAGTGCGCGAGCCAAATGGCAATGGTAATGGCCATAACCACGAGCGATTCTCTGTGGAGCGACGTGTGCAGGATGAGGATGATTCATTTGATTATGGCACGGATCGTGAGAGTAGTGTTTATAATCCGACAACAATGCCGCTGCGCAATGCGCTAATGGCCCAGGCGGGCGGACGCAATTCACAGATGCGTAACGAGGCACCGGAACAAGAAGAAACTGTTACTGAGAATTCGGATTTGCTGCAGCGTGGCAATCAGTTGGGCATACCCGAGTCGCGATTCTCGCGTTGGCTGCCCAAGGATCAGCGTGAGCTGCTCGAAAAACAGGCCAATCTGCTATCGGGACGCACTCAGACAGTCACACCAACTCCAGCAGCAGCAACAGCAACAGCAGCAGTAAAAGCAACTCCGCCAGCAGCGCCACCAAAACCGAACAAAAATCGACAAATATCAACAACGCCCACAACACCAAGGATTCCACAGGAAACGGAAATCTAAATGTGTGTCTATGTGTGTCTGTCTGTCTGTCTGTGTGTGTGTGTGTCTGTGTGTGCGCAAGATTACATATTCTTACACTGCGAAATATAGAATAGACTTGCGACTAAATCTAAAAACTTAGACACACTTCTCAATGTCTAGTTAGGCATTCGACTCACTATTATCAAGTAGAATTTGACTAAATGTATTATTCTCAGTCTCGATTGAGATTTAAATGCCAATCTAACAATCCAATGCAATAATATACAATTTAGTTAAGCGTTGAGAAAAGACGAACCTAATTCATTAAAATTTAAAATTCAGTTGCATAGCAACAAGCTATGAAACTCAACTGAAACTCAACAACAAGCGAAACTCATGACAGCTTCACCAAAACACCAATACACACATACATCACAAAATAAACGAAATTGTGGAAGGCTCAACAAAGTTGAGGTCAATTCACGAAAACAGCATGAAATTTAAGCATGAAATTAAGAATTTGTTCGAATATGTATTTAAATAGACAGTTGCATGGCGAGCCTTGTGGAGCTACCTGCCATAAAGCTAATTGTTATGTTTACTCAAAACGAGCAGCGAAATGCTAATGCAACGTATTCTTCAATGTAGTCAGTTGGAACAAAAAGTCAACAAGGAGATGCGCAACCAGTGTTCAACTTAAGCTGTGCCCACTGTACTTTTTTTTAAACTTCCTTAAGAGCCTTACAAATTTCCTTTTTTTTCTTCTTAACTTTTTTATCATTTAGTTTAAGTTTGCAAATTGAACAATGATTTAATGTATTTCGCTAGTTAGTAGATCCTAAAACACATTTAAAAAAAAAAAACAAAACAAAACGCGGTATTTATTAAGTTGTAGTTAGTGTGACTTGTTTGATAGAGTTGTACATTATTTTATACTTTATATATATTTATAAAAAATTAACAAAACCAAATAAAAAAAAAATGCGAATTGCTTGCGTGTTTGTGTGTGTGTGTGTATTTAAGGGCTTGAGGGTTCTTTAATTTTTTATTATTGTAATATTTTTGGTTATATTATTTCAATTTCTCAAAACTACATTTAATCCTCTTTTAGACTTAAGAGAATAATATTTCCCCAACAAAAACCAAATGGACAAATAACAAAATACACAAAATACCATATGCCAGACTATTAAAACTAAATGCGATTGAATTTGTTCAAGCTGCGTGCTTTGCATTTTCAATATTGATAGCCAGATAAACACGTGCTGCAGATAAACTGAGACACACACAAAGTTTCTAACAGTCTAACTATCGAAATTATAACGAACACGCAACCAGACTGCTGCCAGACATTTAAATGAGCCACAATATTTATAGAATACATATAGATACTCCAAATACGAGTTGCATGTGTGCTCTGTGCCAAACAAATTATGTTAACGACTATCAGCTAACAGCGATCTGGGCCAAACCATGCCACGGAATAAATGCCAATTGTGGAAAAGTTGAGCACAGCACAGCTGAGGTCAAAGCCAAAGCTCAAGGTTAACACACAAAAAAAAACTTTTCCAATAAATTTAAGCGATTTTGCGAGAAGTGACAGACGTTTTATAAGACTTTTCCATGTCTAGAATAACTAATCTTTGCAGTGCTTTGAAAACTATTTGCCATTAGTTACATAAATCAGTTGTTGTCCTTAAAATGAGCTTTAATATTTTCTTTCAATTTTCCAGTACTTGAAGTATACACAAGAAAAAAGTCAAAAGATATAGTAAAGGACTTAACAATTTCATAAACTCCATAGCTTTTACCCTTTGGGATAATCTTAGGTAAACAGCAGATAAAATACAGTCTCTTTTCTACTGGAAAACCTGCAATTTCCTACAGCTTTCAAAAGCTATTTTAAGTGATCTATTTGCATCTTTTCCGTTATGCAACTGCTTAAAGAGTTGCAATCCAAAGCGACAATTTTAGAGTAGTTGAAACATTGGTTTTATATGGTGCCACAAAGCAATCACAATTACGCAATTACGCTGCACAAGTTGAAGCCACTAATCAAAAACCGGCCGCATTTGGTGAAAGCAAGTGGAAATTGTGGCAAGCATAACTCAAAAAGATACTCTTTCTCTAATCCAAAGCACACACCTTTCATCTAACCATCGACTAACCCCGCTTTAATGTGAATTTTTGGGGCCCTGTATCTATTTGTCTGCCCCTACTATCTATTGTCCCGGCTGCACGACAAACAATTATTTTGACACATTTAATAAGTAGCCCACTCCCACACACCCCTCCAAAAAATCACACAACAACAATAACTACAACAACAAACAACCAAACCAAACAACAACAAAAACGGCAACCCTTAACCACAATTGAAACCAAAAACAGCAGCGACACCGAAAGTGCCGACATAAAAGCCACCTCCACCTCAACCGCGACGGCAACAACAACAACAACAACGGCAACGACAACACTGACAGGCGCTGGAACGGGAGCAGGTCCTGCTTTGGGAGCTGGCGAGGATGCTAACGGTGAGCAGCAGGAGCAAATGTTGCCCGGTAAGAAGGCCAAACGTTTGCCAGCCTTTGCCGTTGCCATTTTAAAGCGTTTCAATGAGCGAGATGGCAGAAAGAAGGACGCCAAGGATAACAATGGGCAGGAGCAGGAGACAACGGCGACTGGCTCAAATGAGCAGACGCAGGACAACAATAGGACAGCAGCAACAATCGATGGCAATGACAATGAACCAAAGGTATACAAACAACTAAGCCCACTCCTCAACAGTCCTATCTCTTTCTTTATCTCTCTCTCTCTGTCTTCCTCACTCTTTAAATTACTGAGTGTCTCTCTATGTATACGTGTGTGTGTGTGTGTGTGTGTGTGTGTGCGAGTGTATGTGTATTCAAAAGTGTGTGTGTGTGTGTGTGGGCGATAAGTTTTCTACACCATTTAGCTTAGCGTAATTTTGTAGGCGGTGTAAAAGCTTAAACAATTCTTTATAATTTTTCTATAATCACCAAATATTTTTGCCATTCTCTTTCTCTCTCTCTCTCTCTCTTTCTCTCTTTGTCTCTTTTTACCACACAACGTTTGGCTTACATAACAAAAACAATCAACAAATTGCCTTTTATTTAAATATTTTTTCATTTCGTCGTATTGGTAACGCATGCAAAAATAATTTTTGTGTAACTTGTGTAAATACTACAAATTCTATATATGTACTTATCGATATAAAGGCTATAGTTTGGCAGAGCACTTCACCCGTGTGGACTTTTAAGTAAAGAAAACTTATAGAACAGCAGCAAAAAAAATGCAAATAAAAGGTATCACAATTTGCCCTCTAAAATCACCCAAAAAAATATCTAGATAAAATGTATGCAAATAAATTTGTAAATTGATATTACCATGAAAAAAAATCATTACTCAATTTATTTTATATTTTCGACAGCAAGACAAACAACTCGTCTATGCTGAACTTGTATTGAAGCCCGCTCATGAGAAAACAGCAGCTGCTGCGACAACAACAACAACAGCAACAGCAACAGCACCAGCAAATACAACAACAGCAACAACAACAACACCAGTGGATGCAGCTGCCAAAAATGCAACGGAATATGCCGAAATAGTCTATGTGCAAAAGGGCGATGGCAAGAAATAAAAAATACTCTAAACCAAGCCCAATGAGGCTGTATACAGCAACAACAGCAAAAACAAAAAAAAAAAGCAACAACATTAAACAAACAAAAAACACATAATATTGTGAACTACAACAAAAATACAACCACAACACAAAACAAACCCAATGCATTAACCTTTAAATATTATTGAAATATAAGTCTTAAGTGTGGTTTTTCAAAAACTTCATTGAATGTGTGTATCTAAAAAATCTAAAAGCTAATCTAAATCTACAAATGGCAGCAGCAAAAACAAAAAAAAAAAAGAAAAGCAAAAAAAAATCGTAATGAGTGTGTTATAAAAATAAAACAAAAAGCATTTTTCACATAAAAATATATAATTCATAAAAAAAAAGAGCGCACAGAAAAATCTTCACACAAAACACAAACCCAAACACCTAAATAAAATTTACAAATGAAATAAAATAAAACTAACAGGCAAACTTATTATAAACACAAATTATAAATTAAATTTACATAGGCAAAAACAAAACATACAAAAAATATTTGAAAAATCTCAATTATTTACATAAATGTCTCGCAACTAAGCTAAATGTAATTTAAGCCAAGAAAATATGCAAAAAAAAAAAAACCCACAAAAAAATATTATTTAGATGAACCTTGAATTATTCCTAAACGATTTTGTATACAAAAAGAAAAAACGTTTTTTTAAACCATTTTGATAAAAAACAATTTTAAACAACTAATCGCAGCCAGAGCAAAGCATTTAAAAAAAGGATATATTACGAATCTATACAAGACGAATACAAATATAGAATCTCTAGCAAAGGCGCAACAGATAACCGAAAATACTTTATGCTAATTTTTTTGTATTATGCAACTCAAACATTTTCCATCCAATTTCAATCTCGGAAGTATTTCTTTGTCTTCTTTTTAACTGGCAAATTCATATATACGATTATGTTATTAATTTAAATAAATTTAATAAATATTATAATAATTATGTCTAATTTAAGTGCATCACTAATTATGTATTTTCATTATTAATTTTACATATGTAAATTATAATTTGTATAAAGTTAAGCTGAGCAACATTTTTGAATAAAATTCTTTACCATAAAAATCACGGAAGGTTTTTAATTGAAATGTAACATAATGACGAGGTATTGGAAATATTGGATATATTGGAAATAGCCGCAGAACATATTTCAAATAAATTAAATAGATTCTGTTGCTAGCTTCTGGGCTTTCCATATTTGACGGCCACCAAAGGTAAATCAAAAAACTAAAGCATACTTTTATGCTGACCATTTAATAAAAATCCTTTGCATACTTTTTTGCTCATAAAAGAAATACTCCGCCATTAAGGTTCTCTTAACGCACCAGAAATACTTGCTGAATTTGAATTGACATAGTGCTTTAGAATCACAAGGACCTATTATATCGAACTGCATGGAATTATTATGGCATCGTCTAAGAACCCTAACGTAAAATACTTGTTTTGGCCAGTTGGTAGC